CCACCCTCAGCCCTGACCACCCACCCTCAGCCCTGACCACCCACCCTCAGCCCTGACCACCCACCCTCAGCCCTGGTCACCCACCTTGGCACCACGGTGAGGGCAGGGAGCTATGCCACCCTTTTATTGCTGTTGTCAAGGTCAGAAAAGGAGAACTATGTCAGCAATCTCCACGTGTCACAGCCCCCCCAGCCTGGCCACAGGACACAAAAGGCAAATTCCCTTTTATCTCCTCTAGCTCAGCCTCTGGGCTATTTTTACCTCCCATTGTCAGGGGATCACAAAGGCGGAGAGGGACAGTCACTCAGTCAGGAAGCTGGGATTCAGTGACAGGGACAGGGACAGGGACAGGATCAGGCATCGAGGCACTCAGGAGTGGAAACTGAGTCACAGAGAATCTCATACATGCAGAAAAAAAGACCTACACTTCCAGGGAAGGGAGCCATAGAATACTCTCTGTGACCATCTATTTCAGTTCCCTTCATGAACCTGGGAAGAATGAAGCCTAGAAAAAGAAAGCACCAGCCACTTCTCAGAGGTCAGCAATTGCAGAGATAACATTGAAAAGATACACTTCCCTCGACAGCACCAGGACACTGTCCCCTCAGCCCCTATCTCCACCTCTCAGACTCTCCAAAGGGAAATCCAACATGAAGAAAACCCAAACAAAGCTGGGCCTGGTGGACACCTGTAACCCCTGGTGCTCAGTGTTAGGTCTCAAAGAAACTAGGCCAAATGGCTGAGATGACACACCTCACTTAGCCATTTGCCCTTAGCTTGAGACCTAACACTCAAAATGCCGAGGCAGGAAGAAGCCAAGTTCAAGCTAGTCTTAGTAATTGAGCAAGACAGCAAGACCCCCCCCCATCTCAAAATTAAAAAACAACAGACAGAAAGTGGGCTGGGGATGTAGCTGAGTGAAAATCTCGCACCTGACAACCTTGAGACACTAGGTATGAAAGGAAGAGGAAGAGAGAAAACCAGAGCTGGGACCATACAGTAATAAGAAGGAAGAAGATATAGAAGTTTGGAGCTTAGGAGCTCCTCCATATTTTTGACATTAGTAATTTACAGAAAGACAACTTCTTGTACCCATTCTCATGAAGAGTGGAATGCTTACCACTCAGTCTATCTGATATGACTCTAGAATGTGTCAGGACACTTCTTCTGCCTATTAATTCATTCAGGGCTTGGTGACATTGCAGGATTTTAGAATTATAGGATCAGATGATCCAAGCACACTGGACACTGGGCACAGATCTAGGGCGTTCCAAGCAGACACCAGGAGGAGAATCCTCTCTGCCAATAGGCAATCCATTCCAGATATGTAGTTTTGCCAAACAAAATATACAAAGGTAAATTCATACGCCATCACCACATATGCGTTCAGAGCAGGCAGAACTAAGCTTGGGGACAGAAGTGGAAGGCTGGCACAGGAGAAGCATCTAGAATGCTCCAGTGCTCCAGATGCTGAACCGAGTGGAGGTCACACAGCTGTGTCTACCTTATGAATCAAAGCTGTACATTTTAAATGTATGTACACACACACTATATATATTTTAAACTTTATTGCCAAATTTGATAGTGCCTAGCAAAAGTACAAACCCTTCTCCCCTGAGGCAATATAATCCCAACTCTTTAACATCTCTGCTTAGCTTTGTCTGCTTTCAGAATCTTTATGTCTGGGTTCTTATGTCACTAGTCCTCATCCTCTAGACGTGTTTGTGAGAACAAGGTCATTTTCACATGCTCTTTGTGGAGGTAGGTTGTTTCTCACTTGCCTTCTGCCACTAGAAAGGAACTCTAAGGGAAGGAGTCAAGGCTGCATTTCCAGCTCCGTTCAGAAAGCCTGTCCAGGAGAGAAACTCAGAAGAAAGCTACCAGGCAAACAAACCAAACTCAACAGTTCAAATGATAAGAGTTTTCCTCTCTGTGCAAGGTCAGAGGCAGAGAGCTGAGTTTGAACATTGTGTAGGGAATGTGGAGATTAGGGAGTAGACAGATGGCTCGGTGGGTAAGAAGACTTGCTACACAAGCCTGGGAATCTGAGTTCAGATCCCAGAACGCCTGTAAAAACTTGGGCTTGGCCATGTGCACACCTGTCCCATGGGAAGGAAGCAGGAGGACAGCTCGGCTTGCTGGCCATCTGCCTGCTCCAGGTTCAGTGAGAGACCCTGGCTCAAAAGAATAAAGTCAAGAGTGCTAGAGCAGGACACCTGATGCCCTCCTTAGGCCTCTACACACGTACAGGCCGGGGTACCCACACATGCAGGAATGCATGCATGCATGCACAATCATAAAAGTATAGACTGTACATACAAATTTTTACTGCTGAAAGGTGCTCAGAATGCAGGGCTTTTTGTCCCATTACAGAGTGACAGAATTAACCTAAAGAAATCAGAACCTTTAATAACCAAAAATTAACTGTGGATAAAATTCTAGTTACCTGCTCAATGTACAGTTAAGTGCTTTGCAATAAACCCAGAATACAGGCCTAGACATATCCTAGATTCACTTTCCCTCTCTGGGGCACATCTGCCTGCTAAGATGATCATCCAGCTCAGAATAACAAACCAACATGGAAACCCATGTCCTGAGAAATCCAATCAAGTTTGCAATTCGAAAGGGCCTGCAGTCTGCTTTAAGATGCTGCCAGAAGCAGAGAGCTTGTGGGACTTGGGCAGCCTCAAAGGAGAACCATCAGAAACTTGGAGAAACAACTTCATCATACAACACGTATCTGGCAAATCTGGGGCTTTGTGTTTAAACTCCAGCATTTAGGATGCGGGAGTAGACCTGTGGGCAGAGAAAGAACAAGGGAGCAAAGATGTGTACACAAGGTGGGGTTCCTAAGTGCAGAGCCAGCCAGCAACTGAAGATAGGTGGAAGAAAGTGAGCCTGTATTAGGCCTCAGCACTTTCAACTATGGCTGAAGTCTGCTCCAATTTCAGGAGGCTAGACTCGGAGTTTAGGACACCAGCTCCAAACATCTCTGTCACCAGTATACCCCACAACACTGGGTGTGGTTAGGAAAAAAAAAACAAAACTATGTGTGCTAGGAAGAGTTTTACTAGGGAACAGCAGAGGGTAGAAAGAATACCAGATTGTCCAGAATCTTGAAACACTCGGAAGGGATACGGGATTGATGCAAGAGCAATGGGGACTTTTTAGGGCAGGAATGTAAGTGACCTAAAGTTTAAGAATGGCCATTGTGGCTGTCATGCGGACAGACTGGGGACAGGGAGGAGTTTGCTGTGATCACCCAGGTAAAAGCAGATGAGACTGGGAGTGTTGAAGGCACGTGCATGAGTGGGTGGGGACGGGGAGGTATGGAGACAGGTGTCATGAGCCCACAGTCCCAGAAGAAGAGAATGAAGACCCAGCCTGAGCAACTGCATGGGCTGAGGCTAGGCCCCAGGGTGTAAAGAAAGGCAAGGATGGACCTAGTCATTGGGACAGGACTGTGGAGAACTTCAAAAGCAACATTGGGATTTAGAGCTTTTCCTGTATGAGTTGGGGCACCATCAAAGGCGTTTTTATTTATTTCTTCATCAAAGAGCCTTGAGCAAGGGGATCTGACAGTGAGGTCAGATTTATGTGTTCATCAGATCCCTGCAGCAGCTGGTGTGGAGGATGGACTGAAGGGGCGAGACCCGCCGGTGGCAGGAAGACGCGTTCAGGAGGAGGCTGCCGTAATGGTCCACATGCAAGGTGGTGAGGCCCCAAGGGGGCCCGCCACCCTGGCACCCCAGGGGTGGGTGGGCCCCTGCTTGTCCCAGGTTTGTCCTCCTCATGGGGCCCTGGGCAGCTGCTGAGGGCTCGAGTGGGCCCCAGCTCTGAGGCTCCAAGCAGAAAATAGGATGAGGGCAGCCAGAGAGCATCAAGGCTGTTTATCCGGAGAAGAGATGCCTCAGCATGGATTTATGGCTCAAAGGTTACTGGGGGGAGGAAGTGGAGAACCAGCTGTCCCCCATCCCCATAAAGTACTAGTACAGGGACTGTGGCCTCATCTGCCACAAGAGGAGGGAGCGGAGGCACACGAGGGGTAATGTCCTGCCAGCATCATAGGACAAAGGGACTCTTTAGTGGTTGTACAAATCAACTCTCACTGACATCAGGGAAACTGAGGCACAGAGGGAGAGGCAGGTCTTTGTGATGCTATCACCCTGTAGTATAACCTCAAACTTCTAAAGACCCTAGAGTCTACTGAAGAATGCCTCTCAGAGCATTTATGAAGATCCTTCAAATTGCCCTATTAAGAATTCTGGGATGTGGTCACCCCAGTTAAAAAAAATTTTTTTAAAGAAAGAAAAAGTGCATGTGCAGGCATCCCACAAGACCTGCGTGGTGCTAAGGGTCTCTAACTGGTGCTAGGTCTGTTCCAGGTTCTGATCTGCTCACATGCGAGTCCAACCTTTGCCTAGTTCCGAAGTGTCTTCATAGCATGCTCTCTGGCTCCAATCCAAATGCTTTGGACAGTGGGTGGGAGTCCTTAGTATCTCTCAAGGGTCTTGGTCTTTCCATGTTACCTGTCCCTCTCTGCCCTCTGAGGGCATTCCTTCTCCTGGCCGTTGCCTCTGTCTCTCTCAAGGCTCAGCTGAGCCTGTTCCACCCACCCCAGGGGCCCTCACTGGAAGAGTGGCTCAGTGTAGACAATGCCTGGGCCCTGGGCCCAGGCTGGGACAGGTGACAGCAGCTGTGGATCTATCTATAGCTC